GTTACCACTGATGGTAGTAAAAGGCTCGGGTCCAAACCTATTGGTGTGAAATTGGTTGAGAAAGATTCACCTTGATTGGCTCAATATGTTTTGATTGGGGAAATGCTGCCTCAGTGAAGTCCTAGTGAAATACTCAGGAGTATTTCAAGAAGGGCTTGAGACTATCAAAGGGGCCAAAACCACTTTACATGTTGGCCAGGAAGCAATTCCGAGATTTTGCAGGGCCTGCCTGGTGCCTTTAGCCTTGTGGGCAAAAGTCGAGGCTGAAATCAGGAGGCTGGAGAGCGAAGGATTCATCAAACCAGTGCATTTTGCAGAATGGGCAGTACTGGTCATACTGATTGTGAAGTCTGACGGCTCAGCTTGCCTTTGTGGGGATTTTAAGGAAACTGTAAACCGCTTTTCGCAGCTGGATAAATACCCAAAACCTCGCGTAGAGGACTTGTATGCAAAGTGGATGGGAGGGTGCTTGTCCTTCACGAAGCTGGACATGATCCGTGCCTACCTGCAATTGTGACTGGATGAGAGTCCCAGAAGTACGCTACACTTCATACCCATAAGGGTTTATACCAATATACAAGATTGCCATTTGGGGTATCATCAGCCTGTGCTCTTTTCCAGCAACCCATGGAGAATGACATATTAATAACCGGGTAGACCAATAAAGAGCACTTAGAAAACTTGGACATAATGCTTAGACCTTTCTCCCAGGCAGGAATACACCTTAGAGGGGAAAAATGTGTATACCAGGAACCCCAAGTGACCTACTTCGGTTACAGAGAAGACAAAACCGGGTTACACCAGCTGGAAGAGAAAGTGAGGGTGATCAAAGGAGCCCCGCTCCCACGTCTGTACCAGACTTTGGGTCTTTCCTTGGGATATGAATTATTACAGAAAATTCATGCATAACCTGGCCTCCATCTTGGCACCCGTACACCTGCTTTTAAAAAAGGGTCAGGCTTGGAACTGGTCGCATAACCAAGAGGTAGCCTTTAGGGAAGTGAAAAACAGCTACCATCATCTAAAGTGTTGGCCCACTATGACCCGAAGCGAGAGGTAGCGCTGAAACGCGATGCCTCCCCGTACAGTATCGGGGTAGTGTTGGCTCATCAGTGGTCCAACGGAGAGGAACATCCGATAACGTATGCTTCCCAGACTTTGGCTGATGCCGAACGTAAATACACCCAGCTAGAGAAGGAAGGTTTGATGGTCATCTTTGACTTGAGGAAGTTCCACCAGTACCGTTATGGATGGGAATTTGTCATAGTAACAGATCACAAACTCCTGCTGGGGCTACTGCAGGAAGACAAGGTGGCGCTGCCCGTAGCTTCCAGTACACTTTAACTTTGGGCGCTAATTCTCAGCACATACAAGTTAGAACACCTTCCAGGAAGGCAAATAGCTAATGTGGATGCCTTGAGCTGCCTCCCACTGGCAGATACTCCACTGGTGGTGCCGCCTCTGGAAGCGTCTGTTTTGGTTTAGAACTTCCTGCACACCCTTCCGGTGACCGCTGACAATATCTGGCTGTGGACACAAAAGGTCCTGGCCCTAGCAAAACTGAAACAGCTGGTGGTAATGAGTAAACAGAAGGGCCATTGCAACCCGAATTGACGCCTTTCTGGTCCTGGCACGACCAGATCATTGTAGAGGACGGCATATTACTGTGGGGAGCAAGTTTGATTGTTCTAAGTAAAGGTCGCTGCCAGATAGTGGATGAACTCCACCAGGGTCACTCAGGAGTTTCCAGGATGAAGATGCTAGCAAGAAGGAATGGCTGGTGGCCAGGATTGGATGCCAACATATCTGTGTTGGTGGGGCAGTGCCCACTGTGCCAACAAGGACAAAAGTTGCCACCAGCAACATCCCCACACTTGTGGGAATGGCAGGGTAAAACCCTGGACTCGACTGCATGTCAACTATGCCGATCCTTTCATGGGGCTAAATATTCCTGGTCATTGTGGATGAAAGTGGTTCAAAGTGGTTGAACATGCATAAAGTTTGTTCGGCAAACTCAGGGATGACAATTTGAGAAGCTGCAAGCATCATTTGCAATACACGGACTCCTGGAAGAATTGGTCACAAACAATGGGATATCATTTACCAGCAGGGAATTTGAATATTTTCTAAAGTCAAATGGCATTTGGCACATAAGGGCATCATTCATACCATCCATCATCCAATGATCCAGCAGGAACAGCGGCCCAAACGTTCCCCATATCCCTGCTGCCCTTTTCTTGCAATGCAGAATAATCACTATGATCAATCAATTAGTCATTGGAAAGTGTAAAGGAAGATTTACTCTGTACCTAACCTCATGCTGCCCCTTAGAGGAAATGTTTTATAAGGACAGTGTAGAGACCTTTACTTTAAGTTTAAAAGAATAGAGGAAGTTTTACTCTGTATCTAACCCCATGCTGTACCTGTCCTGGGAGGATTTGATGGACCTGTCAAAGGAGTTTTACTTTCAGTTTGAAAGAGTAGAGGGAACTTGACTCTGTACCTGACCCTATGCTTACCTATCCTAATTTTGGTTTATAGGAACATTGTTGAGAGGGGAGCTTTACTTAACAGTTTAAAAGAGTAGCAGGAGCTTCTCTGTCCCTGTCTTGGAAATGTTTGTTGGGGGCAGTGTTGGGGGAGTTAGGCTTCAGTTTAAAAGAGTATAGAAAGTTTTATTTTCAGTTTAAGAGAAGAGGAACCTTTACTCTGTAATTGATTCCCATGCTGTACCTGTCCTAGGAGTGCCAAATGGGGCCAGTGTAGCAATCAACTAATAATGATGGAAGAATGCCAACTAAATGGATCTAACAGTGTGGAGCTGGAGGAACACAGCAGGCCAGGCAGCATCAGAGGAGCAGGAAAGCTGATGTTTCAGGTCGGGACCCTTCTTCAGAAATGGGGGAGGGGGAAGGGAGCTCTGAAATAAATGGGGGGGAGGTGGGGCTGGGGAAGGTAGGTGGGATGGTGATAGGTGAGTGCAGGTAGGCAGTGGTGGGGATTGGTCAGTGAGGTGGGAGGAGCAGATAGGTGGGAGAGAAGACGGACAGGTTGTGTCAGGTCAAGGAGGCGGGGATGAGAGGGAGGGTTGGACATGGGATGAGGCTTGGGGGTGGGGAGATTTTGAAACTGGTGAATTCCATGTTTAGGCCGTTGGGCTATTGGCTCCCAAGGCAGAATATCAGGTGCTGCTCTTCCAGTTTCCGGGTGGCGTCATTGTGACACTGGAGGAGGCCCCGGATGGACATGTCGTCCAGGGAGTGGGAGGGGGAGTTAAAGTGGTTCGTGACCAGAAGGTGTTGTCATTTGTTGCGAACAGAGCGCAGGTGCTCTACAAAGCGGTCTCTGAGCCTCCGCTTTGTCTCCATTGTAGAGGAGGTCGCATCGGGAGCAGCGGATGCAGTAGACCTTATTAGTGGATGTGCAGGTGAACCTCTGCCTGATGTGGAAGGTTTTTTTGGTTCATTGGATGGAGGTGATGGGGGAGGTGTAGGGGCAGGTGTAGCACTTCCTGCAGTTGCAGGGAAAGGTACCGGGGGTGGTGGGGCTAGTGGGGACTGCGGAGCAGATGAAGGAGTTGCAGAGAGTGGTCCCTACAACAGGCAGATAGGGGTGGGGAGGGAAATATAGACTGCACCCTCCTGTAACCCACCTTCCCGCAAGAATGCAATCCCCTACTCCCAATTCCTCTGCTTCCGCCGCGTCTGCTCCCAAGATGGGGCGTTCTGCTCCCGCTCCATCCCAGATGTCCTCTTATTTCAAGGACCGCAACTTCCCCCCTTCAGTGGTCGAAAATGCTCTTGACCGAATCTCTTGCGTTTCCCGCACCTCTGCCATCACATCCCCTCCTCCCAACAAAAACAAAGACAGAATCCCCCCTTGTTCTCACGTATCACCCCACAAACCTTCGGATTCAACGTATCATTCTCCGCCACTTCCGCCACCGGCAATCCGATCCCACAACCAAAAATATATTTCGCACCCCACCCCTATCTGCCTTCTGTAGGGACTGCTCTCTCTGCGACTCCCTCGTCCGCTCCACACTCCCCACTAGCCCCACCACCCCCAGCACCTTTCCCTGCAACCGCAGGAAGTGCTATACCTGCCCCTACATCTCCCCCATCACCTCCATCCAAGGAACCAAAAAAAACCTTCCACATCAAACAGAGGTTCACCTGCGCATCCGCTAATGTGGTCTACTGCATCTGCTGCTCCCGATGTGGCTTCCTCTACATCGTTGAGACAAAGTGGAGACTCAGAGACCGCTTTGTAGAGCACCTGCGCTCTGTCCGCGACAAATGACAACACCTTCCAGTTGCGAACCACTTCAATTCCCCCTCCCAATCCCTGGGCACCATGTCCGTCCTGGGCCTCCTCCAGTGTCACAATGACGCCACCCGGAATCTGGAGGAGCAGCACCTCATATTCTGCCTTGGGAGCCTACAACGCAATGGTCTCAATGTGGACGTTACCAGTTTCAAAATCTTCCTAAGCCCGGCCTCATCCCATGACCAACCCTCCCTCTCATCCCCGCCTCTTTAACCTGACACAACCTGTCTGTCTTCTCTCCCACCTATCCGCTCCTCCCACCTCACTGACCAATCCCCACCACTGCCTACCTGCACTCACCTATCACCATCCCACCTTCCTTCCCCAGCCTCACCCCTCCACTATTTATTTCAGAGCTCCCTTCCCTCTCCCCCATTTCTGAAGAAGGGTCCTGACCCGAAATGTTAGCTTTTCTGCTCCTTTGATGCTGCCTGGCCTGTTGTGTTCCTCCAGCTCCACACTGTGTTATCTCTGGCTCCAACATCGGCCGTTCTTACTATCTCCAACTAAATGGATCTTATTCTTTGTCTATTCTCACAAAATGTGTGTGACAACATGACACGGAAATAGTTTGGGCTTTGGAGAAATGGATGATCTGTCACTGAAATTGAAGTGGTTGCATGTAATACATAAACACATCCTAAGTTACACTTCTGTTTTATTGAATGCAGGATCTCTGATTACATGGATCTATCCACCACGGATGTTGTGGGGAAAAACTGCTATCACTTCATTCATGCTGAGGATGTTGAAGGAATCAGGCACAGTCACCTGGACTGTAAGTATCTTCAGTTTCTTGATATTTGGATATTTGTTGTGAGGTACTATTAAGAGTTATTATGAGGCATTAATAAGGATGCTAAAGGATCTTTCAATTTATCACTGCTAAGGGATTGCCTGTCATGGTGCTATTTAGATTAGGAACAAAGGCTTTTTTAAATCTAATCTGTGGAGGAAGAAAGATTTTAAAAATGTGCTCTAGATTCTGTTGTGTATTGAAAATTGGAATGTACAGTTTGTTCATTTGAAGCTACCATACATACATGTACCAGCAAAGGGAAACTGTTCGTCAGGAACAAAAACAGAGGTTCTTATTTAGATGTTTGTTTGTGTAGTTTTTGGCATCTCTAGCAGTTTCTGCACCAAGCATGTCACAGATGTACCACCAACCACCACCACCGCGTCCCCCCCCCCGCCCAAGACATTGAGCAGAACACAAGAAGGGAGGAAGAACTCTATTTTTAGTTATAGTCTAGTTATACCTTAATATCTTCTGCAACTCAAAATGGCACCAGAGTGTGGCAACGTATTACACTTTTCACTACATTTGTTAAATACAAGTGACAATAAATCATTCAATAAATTCAATACTGTTCAGGCCCTGTAACTTCACTGTGATGGCAGTGCTTTTTGTTGCTTTAAGGCCAATGTCACCACTAGGTGGAGCAACTTGCACACGTGTGGTGTGAAAATATTGCAGGCTACATCATGACAAAGAGACTGAGTGGCCTCAAAGTGTATTAACAGTTACTGAGTTGGAAAACTACAACTAACTTCGGTAAACCCTGAAAGGAGGGAAAGTTCTGTTCTAGAATAGTTACATTTTGTGGAAGTTGTGGCCTGTGAATGTGCAAATGTTTCTGAAAGAGGCAGACAAGAAAGAAAGTGTGGGTAGGTAACTGGGAGCAGACAGGTCGTAGCACTTGGATGGGTAGCGGGGAGGGGACAGCTAGTGTAACAGCAAGCTGATTTCAGACTGGGATGGTGGAACACTGAACTGAGCCTCCAGCAAGCTCAAGGCAGGGCAGTGAGTTGACATCAGCTGAAATGCGCACACATCTAACATAACAGGTGAAACCTACTTCCTGTGCTCATATGCATCACTGACATCAGGATCACTGAGTGCCAACAACTTCCTGTACCAATGTGGTGTCAGGACATGCACCTGGAATGTGGGTGTCACTGCTTGGCTTAGCAGTTGCTGCCCATCCCTAGTTGCCCCTTGAGATGGTAGTGATGAGCTGCCTTCTTGAACTGTGGCTGTCCATGTGGTATAGGGACACCTACAGTGCTGTTAGGGAGGGAGTTCCAGGATTTTGACCCAGCAATATATCCCCAAGTCAGGATGGAGAGTGGCTCAGAGAGGAACTTGCACAAAGTGCTGTTCCATGTATCTGCTGACCTTGTCATAGAGTCATAAGGCACGGAAACAGACCCTTTGGTCCAACTTGTCCATGCCAAGTCTCCCAAACTAAACTATTCCCACATGTCTGCATTTGGCCCATATCCACAGTGACATTTGAAGTGTGGCTGTTGTTGTAACATGAAAAACGCAGAAGGTAATGAATTCCAATATGCATAAAGTGCTGGAGAAACTCAGCCCTCTTGATGATAGAGGTTGAGGGTTTGGAAGGTACCATTGGAGAAGTCTGGATGGGCTGCTTCAGCTTTCTGTTGATGGCACATATTGCTGCTACTGAACATCCATGGTGGAGAGAGTGAATGTTGAAAGTGCTGGATATGGTGCTGATCAAGTAAGATGCTTCATCCTGGATGGTGTAAAGACTCCAGTATGGCTGAAGTTGCGCTCATTCAGGGAAGTGAAGAGTATTCCATCACATTCCTCCTTGTGGTTTGCAGATGGTGGACATGTTTTAGAATGTCTAATTCATTGCTGTACCTGTCTTGGAAGTGTTGGGGACAGTGTTGAGAGTGCTTTACTTTCAGTTTAAAACAGTAGAAAAAGCTTTATTCTGTGCTGTCTCGGGTCACGTGTAGGCCAGACCAGGTAAGGATGATAGACTTCATTCCCTAAAGGACATTAGTGAACCCAACATGATGGGTTCTTACAAAAATCAATGATAGTTGTCATGGTTACCATTACTGAGACTAGCTTCTAATTACAGATGTATTAATTGAATTTAAAATTCCCAGCTGTTGTGATGGGATTTGAACCCACATCGCCAGACCATTAGCCTGGGGCCTTTGGGTTCCTAGTCCATCATCATTCCCCACATTTGATTTTTGATTTGATTTAAGTTAGCAGAGAGAGGAATTGGTGCCCAGGAAAAAGATTTACAAGGGAAGAGGGTGAGAGGGAAATGGCAACCAATTATTAGGAGCTGTTATTATTGTATAATTGTGTAAAATGCTGCCAGGAACAGAGTTTCTTTTAAGTCTCTGTTTGTCACACATAACTCCCACAAGGAATAAAGATATATCCATCACAATTTATCTTAACTGCAATCAATAGCACTCACTGAAGTGGGGAACTTCGGCAAGATTCGAGACTTAAATCTGTTTTGTTGTTGCAGTATTAAAATGGAGCGTTTGCTGAATTGAATTTAAAGCTTTTTATTTCTGCGCTGTCACAGTTCAACCCATCAATCACTGAATCCCACTGCTAGAGCCAAGCAGGAGAGACTCCTTGATGGTGAAGTGAAGCAGAGAGAAAGAGGGAGGGAGACAGCGACGAGGAGAATGACAGAGAAAGTGTGTGTGAGAGAATTGAACCACAGATGTGAATGTGTGCCAGGATGAAGGGCAGATAAATAAAAACAAAGAATGACTGGGGAAATAAGTTGAAAGCTAATGTATCAAAAGTGTTCCTCCAGCCCGATGCCACTGATTCCACTCCACCCAGTGCTTAGTGTCATTGTATCTCTACTGGTACTAATCCAACTCCCTCACATTGTCACTCAAGAACACCCCTCTCTCATTCAGCACCCTGTGATACTGACCATACCTCAACTGATATTAACCCAGCTCCCCGAGTCACACAGTAACCTCCCTCTCTTCCCCAGCATCCTGTATTACTGATTGTATTACCACTGATATTAATCCAGCTCGCTCACACTGTCATTCAGTAACCCCTCTCACCCAGTACCCTGTGTTACTGATTGCATCCCTACCGATGTTAATCCAGCATTGGAGAAGGCAATGGCCTACTGGTATTATCGCTGGACAGTTAATCCAGAGACCCAGATAGTGTTCTGGTGACCTGGGTTCGAATCCTGCCACAGCAGATGGTGGAATTTGAATTCAGTAAATATCTGGAATTAAGAGTCTAATGATGACCATGAATCCATTGCCGATTGTTGCGGGGGGAAAAACCCATCTCGTTCACTGGTGTCCAGGAACTGCAATCCTTACCTGTTCTGGCCTACATGTGACTCCAGACTCAAAGCAATGTGGTTGACTCATAACTGCCCTCTGGGCAATTAGGATGGGCAATAAATGCTGGCCTAGGCAGCAACGCCCTCATCCTGTGAATGAATAAAGGAAAAACAAGCTCCCCCCATGGTCGCTTAGTAAGCTCTTTTCCCCCAGTACCGTGTACTGACTGTATCCCTACCAATATTAATCCAGCCTTCCCTCTGCATCAGGCCCCCCCCCCAACCTCTCTATGCCATTAACAGTCCCTCACTCTTCTTCCTCCAGTGTTAAACAAGGGGCAGGTGGTCACCAAGTACTATCGCTGGATGCAAAAGAACGGAGGTTACATGTGGGTGCAGTCCAGTGCAACCATCTCCATCAACGTCAAGAATGGAAATGAGAAGAACATCATCTGGGTCAACCACGTGCTGAGGTGAGCCTAACCCTATTGCCTGCACCTGTGCCAATGTAACACAATCGGTAGGCAGAATTGGGAATCAAGATCTGAGTATCGCCAAGTCTGCCCCCACCCTCGGTATGAAGGAGGAAAGAGGAAATCATGATATTTATCCCTGTACCCACATGCCCAAAAACACATTATCCGGTCATGTACCTCATTGCTGTTTATGGGATCTTGCTGTGCATGAACAGCTCCTGCCCATTTCCCTTATTACAACACTTCCAAAGCACTTCATTGGCTTTGACACTCTTTTTGATGGTCCTGAAGTGTTAAGGAGTTGCAACCCTTGCTTATCTTAGTGATGGCTGGGACACTGTGACCAGATACAGCCTACCCCTCCCTCACATTCCCTTCCTTTCTCTAACCACAACCTGCCCACTCCCTCTCCACAGCCAGATTCTCCTGGGTGAACCTAAGGTGGGTCAAATTCCTGAAACTCATTCCCTAATAGTCCTGTGGGTGTCCCTTTCCAAATTAGAGTCAGTCATAGACTCATACAGCACCAAATCAGTCCCTTCAGCCCAACTTGTCCATGCCGACCAGGTTTCCTAAACTGAACTAGTCCCTTCTGCCTGCATTTGGCCCATACCCCTCTAAATTATTCCTATCCATGCACCTGTCAAAATGTCTTTTAAATGTTGTAATTGTACCCGCCTCCCCCACTTCCTCTGGCAGCTCATTCCACTTACGAACCACCCTCTGTGTGAAAAAGTTGCCGCTCAGTCCCTTTTAAATCTTTCCCCTCTCACCTTAAACCTATGCCGTCTAGTTTTGGACTCCCCACCCTGGGGAAAAGACTTGGCTATTCACCTAATATATGTCCCTCATGATTTTATAAACCTCTATAACGTCACCCCTCAGCCTCCTACGCTCCAGGGAAAATGTCCCAGCCTGTCCAGCCCCTCCTTATAACTCAGCTCTTCCAGTCCCAGTAACTTCCTTGTAAATCTTCTTTGCAGCTATTTTTTTGCACGGCAGTGGTTCCAGAAGGCAGCTCACCCCACCACCTTTGCAAGGGTAACTAAGGAGAGTCATAAATGCTGGCCTAGTTAGCAAGCTCCTACCCCGGAAGGAATATTTCTTTAAAAAAGAGGCAGAGAGAGAAACTCCCATCAAGGGCCCATTTGGGATCAATTTTGCACTTCTGCCAGACAATAGGAGCTAGTTCTGGGACTGAATGTTATTTATAAAGTCACTTGCCGCTCTTCATGATGTAGCCTTTGCCCAAGTAAGTACCCAATCTAGCTCCCTCTTCTTACTGAATTCAAATTCCACCATCTGTCATGGTGGGATTCAAACCTGGGTCCCTAGAACATTATCTGGGTCTTTGGATGAACAGTTCAGTGGTAATAGGCCATCGCCTTCCCTTCTAGCTCCCTCTTGTCTAATACAGATTCTGTGCATCCAACGCCACTGTTCAGAGGCTCACTGCTCACTGCTCACTGAGTGGGAGCAGGTAAATTTCTGACCTGCCCTTCTGGTTAGTGTGGCTGTCATGATGCCACTGAATCCCATGGGGCAGAGTGTATGTATCTCAATGGTGTTAAGGAAGCTTGATTCACTTGGTAGCCCTCACACCATCTGGGCTAGGCGAACAGGAGAAGGGAACCATTCAGCCCATGTCACGCCATTTGGTTAGAATGCCATTGAACTGGACCTGGACTCCATTTACCCAAGTCTGTTCCTCCTTACTAACTAATATGTTACCAAAATTGAAAATCTCACTTTATATCTTTATCTTGAATTCTGTCAAATTCTATCAAATTGAATAGACTCAATAACTGAGCCTATTCTGGGGTAGAGGAATCCAAGTTTCACCACCTCTGATTAAAGAAATTCCTCCTTGTCTCAGTCCCAAATGGCTTGCCTTTTAATCAAAGACTATGTTCCTGATGTTTGTAGAATCCCAGCCTGGGGGAGCATGCTATCTACATCCACTCTGTCATGCTTTGTAAGAATTCTGTGTGCTTCAATGAAATCATCCCTCATTCTTTGAAATTTGGGAGAAAACACCTCAATATCTTTCCCATACAATAACCCTACCATTCCAGGGATTAATTTAGTGAATCTCTATTGCACCCCTTCCATGGCACATACAGTAATTTTTTTATTTTACACTACCCACTAAAAATCAGTGTTTTAATACTGCTTATTTAAGGTTTGTTTGCTGTCATATTTACAGTCCCGGTATTAATTCATAACCTAGCTCTGGCCCTGGCTTTTTCCTCCTAGAGTTACTTCACATTCCCATTATCCTTGCTTTCCCCTCCCCCACCTCAATAGCTTCTCACCCCGGCTTTGCTTCCCTCTGTCTTTGCTGCCTCCTGCCTTGGCCTTGTCTCGCTGCTTGCCAGCCTCCCACCCCTTATCTTCTGGCCTTGCTTCTTCTCACTCGTGTCTCACTCTGCCCTTTTCTCACTCTTACTTTCAGATGTTTGCTTCTCCTAGCTGTGGTTCTCAACTCTCACTGAAAGGCTTCCACTGGTGGCAGGAGCTGTTTGCCCTGACCAACTTCTGCCACTAGATGGTGTTCGGTCAACCAAAAAAAAAGGCAACTGTATTTCTTTAAAATACTGTATTGTACATAGAATATACTATATTGTATTTCTTTTATATTTATTGATTTTTATTTTGCAAGTTATTTCAGCTAAGAATGCACAGTGTTGTACATGTGTAGAACAGTATTTCAACTTGTCCAATTTTTTTCCTCGGAAAATTATACAAAGGTACCTAACCCAGACTTTAACACCAATTCCTACGGGAACCGATGACTCACTTAAAGTCATTTAAAACAAAATTGCTCACTCGGGCTTAAAGTTCTTGTTTCAAAGTGATAGTTTGAAATGGCACAGTACAAAACAGAAACAGCCTCCACTTTCAGCACTCTCATTACACTTTGTGAAGCTAATTACACTATTTTCCACATCTTATTGCTTCTTAAAGAAATAAATCTAGAGAGAATAGAATACTTTGAGGGACTTCACAGGGTAGGTGTAGAGAGGCTGTTTTTCCATTGTGAGAAAGTCTTGGACCAGAGGGTAAATCTCAGGGAAAGAAGTCACCCATTTAAAACAGATGACGAGGAATTTCTTCTTTCAGAGGGTAGTGAATCTGGAATTCTTTGCAGAGGGCTGTCAAGGCTGGGTCATTAAGTATTTTCAAGGCTTAGATAGCCATATTTTTAATTAGTAAGGGAATCAAGGATACAGTAAGAAAGTGGAATTAAGGATTATCAGATCAGCCATTATCACATTGAATGGTGGAGCAGACTTATGGGCTGAATGGCCTCCATCTGCTCCCACATATTATAGTCTTAAATTACAACATGCCCTGAATCTTTCGTCTGCTCCACAGAAGTCCGAAAAAGAATGTCATTGCTGCAATAATATTTAGTAATCCCTACACTGCAAATAATTAGCTGTGACTAATTTAACATAAAACCATTAGTTGCTGTGATTATACTTTAATTGCAAGCTTTAATTACAGCAACTAATTAACATGCAGCCTAACAGAAGGAGCCATATTCCCTCATTATATTTAGTTCATACCTTCTTGACATGGATTGCAAGGAAAAGACTCTGTGTTCATCCTGAACTCTTGGTTTCTCTGATGCTAAGAGATAGTGTCGTTTTTCTCCCAATCCTCTTCAGACTCTGCATGTTTTCGCTCTTGGTATTGTAACTTAGCAACTTGTTTTCAATTGTTGAAAATTGACCATGTCTAAAACATTTCATGATAACACCTCCTGCCACTGACAATTGAGATGTTGATGTCTGCTAGTCAGTGGTCCCACCACTTGAGGCACAGTTCTTCAGGTAGCATTCTTCTCACAACCATCCCTGGCTATTTCCATATGTGTTGTGGTCAGCTGTCAAGTCTATACCACCACCCTACCCCCCCCCCCCCCCCCCCCCCCCCCCCCTGCCGAACCCCTCCACTCTTGGTTTTGGCAACGAAGCTTTTTTCCTACTAGATTTGGAACATGGGAATTTGAGGAGGCCATTTGGCCCAACCTGACAGTCAAAGACCTAGATGTTGGCTGATTTGTATCTTAAATTGATCTACCTGCCTTGGCATTTTGAAAAATTCAATCACTGAACGCAAACATTACTGGCTGGGCCAGCATTTATTACCCATGCCTAAATGCTCATGAGGTAGTGATGGAGAGCTACTTTGTGGAACTGCTGCAGTCCATCCGGCTCCATATCCTTTCATACCCTCACCCTGTCAATCTGATGTGAAAAAGTCATGGAGTTTAAAAAAAGACATTCTGTTCATGATGTCAATGATCTAATCAGTTCCATTCCTCGCTGTATTCCCCCGAATCCTTTAAGTTTATTTCTGTCATGTACATCTGATTGCCTTTTAAAATGAATTATCATCTTACCCCACCCCTGTCATATGCAGAACATTCTGAATTTTTCCTAAACTTCTCTGCAGAATGCCCTGGATCTGATTTTAATGTGATATTTCTTTGTTCTAAACTCCCCGAACTGCAGAATAAAGGTTTCTCAAATAAAAGCAGAATACTGTGGATGCTAGAAATCTGAAACAAACACAATAATCTGGCAAAACTCAGCAGGTCTGTAGAGAGAGAAAAACAGCCAACGTTTGGAGTCTGATTGTTCTGAAGAAAAGTCATATCAAATACCAGACCTGCTGACTTTCTCTAGAATGCTGTGTTTGTTTGAAAAAGTTCCTATTTACTCATGCTGACAATGTTGTCCAAAACTCTGAAAAACTACAAAGTCTCCCTCTAACACCTTCTACTTTGGATGTTTCTCTTTGTGGTAGTCTTTCATGCATGATTCATGTCACTATTTTCTCTTTACTAAATCCATTTGTAGCAAGCCAGAGCACCGAGATACCCCAATGGACATCTCCCAGCTTCCGTTGTCGGCCATTAAAACTTCCAAGCAACTGGAGTTGTCGGATTCGGAATCTGATTCCCGGGAACACTTAGGTAAAAACAAACTGCCTGATGCTGTCCATCACTAATAGAATGTGAATGGTTTATTAATTTCCTCTTGGAAAGGAAATCTGCTGTCTTTACCTGGGTCTGGTCTGTACAACAACAGCCCACAACAATGTGATTCTGAACTACTTCTGAGAGGAGGTGGAGTAGTGCGAATGTAGAAATACTAAAAATACAGAACTCCTGGTTAATGTTTTCATAACAAGGACTCAAATCCCACCATGGCAGAAGGTGCAATCTGAATATATAAACAGAAAGAGTATCCACTGTATGGCTTTAATATAAATTGATGAGTGTTTCACTGTATGGTACATTGCTAGTGAAAGTTATGTACAGAAATCTGATCTAACCTCAAGTGGATCAATGCATCCAGTTCCAGGCCCTGCAACTCAGAAAGGATAGATTGATCTTGGAAAGGGCGATTGCAGTTTACTTTTTCTTTCATGGCATGTGGGTGTTGCCAGCATTTATTGCCCAACCCTAATTGCCCTTGAACTAAGTAACTGCTCAGCTACTGCAGAGGGAAGTTAAGAGTGGAATTTAAACTTAATTAATAAATCTGGTGTTGAAAGCTTGTCTCTGTGATGGTGACCATGACAACGACCATTGATTGTTGTAAAACCCATCTGGTTCACTAATGTTGTTCAGGGAAGGAATTTGCCACATGTGACTCCAGATCCACAGTCAATCACATGACTCTTAACTGCTGTCTGGAAGGGATGATGATGGAATAGTGGTAATCCAGAGGCGCTAAGCTAATATTCTGGGGAAATGGGTTTGAATTGCACCATGGCAGATGGTGGAATTTGAACATTTTTTTAAAAATCTAGAGTTAAAAAGCTAGCCTAATGCCAACTGTGTAACCATTCTCAATGATCATTAAAAATAATTTGGTTTCACTAATGCCGTCCTTATCTGGTCTGGCCTACATGTGATTCCAGACCCACAGCGAGATGGCTGACTTTTAACTACTCTCTGAAGTGGCTGAGCAAGACACTTGATTCAGGGGCAACTAAGAGTGGACAATAAATGCTGTCCCAGACGCAATGCCCACATAACATAAGCAATTTTTTTTTAAAAATGGCAGTTCATCAGCTTTTTTTTTAATCCTTTTAGTGGGATGTGGGTGTCAATGGCCAGGCCAGTATTTGTTGCCCACCCCTAACTGCCCTTGAACTGAGTGACTTGCTTGGATTATTTCAGAAGCTGGTTAAGAGTTGGCCACGTTGTTATGGGTCAGAAGTCACATGTATGCCAGAAAGGACATAGAAAATGGATCAGTTACATCCACTGTCACACTATAGAATTGATGGCCTTTGCACTGCCAGTCAAGAGCTTAAGTAGGGAGCGTCAGCAGAGAGAATAAAGATAAAATATGAATTAATAGTATAAAAACAAAATACTGCAGATGCTGGAGATCTGAAATGAAATCAGAAAGTGCTGGAGAAACTCCGGTCTGGAAACCTGTGAAGAGAGAAATAGAGTTAATATTTTGAGTCTAATACACATCTACGTCTTTGGGTCTCCTGAGGAACTGCACTGATCAAACAATGAAGTAGAAACCTGAAGCATGAGTAGACCACTCACCCATTTCAGCCTGATCCACCATTCAACATGAACCTGCCGATCAACAAAACTCAGTCCCTTGATTCTGCTTTTACTCCTATGCACTTTGACCCCTTTAGCCCTAAGAACTACATCTATCACCTTCTTGAAAACATTCAACATTTTGGCCTCTACAACTTTGTGGTGGAGAATTCCACAAGCTCACCAGGTGAAGACATTTCTCCTTAGATGGCCTACCCAGTATCCTTAGACTGTGACTCCTGCTTCTGGACTCCTTGGTCATCAGGAACATCCTTCCTGTGTTTAGCCCTGTCTAGACTTGTTAGAATTTTACAGATTTCTGTGAGATCGCCACCTTAATCTTCCAAACTCCATTGAATGTTAGTCCTCATCGGCAGATTTCCTTCCCTGTAGGAAATTGGTTTCTTGGTGCCACATTAATGTTGCTCACATGTTGATCTCCCTCCTTTAATTTCTTCTGTTTCACTGTAGAAAGGGACAATCCAAAAGACACTGGGAAGCGAAGCAATTACGAGAAGAGGACAGAGCCCCGCTCAGAAGGCTGGAAACGATCAGCAAGCCAGTCGGAGGAAGAGTTGACTTCGGCCAAGGATGACAGCGACACCAGCCAGCCCGACGACTCGGACAGCGAGGGGCCAAGCACCGGGAGGAGGAGCTTCGTCCTGTCCAAGGTCAAACGCATGAAGGTCGAGGGGGACAGTGAGGTGCGGCCAGCAGCCCGCGAGTCCCGGAGCTCCCTCCCCAGTGGCGGTGACGGGGACACAGATAGCTCGGAGGATGAGAGTGCCAGCTTAGCCAGTAAGCCCCAGTATCTAAAGAGGAAGAAGAGGCCTCGGGAGAGCTCGGCCTCCAGGGCCAGGTCGTCAGACTCACCGAGCCCAGGCGCCTCCGACTTTGGCGGTGGAGGGGGTGGAGGTCGGACCCCGTCCAAACCCGCACCCGACCGTATCTCCCCTCTGAAAATCAAGACCGAGGCCACTCAGCCTGTCAACTTCGACAACAACAGCGCCATCTGGAACTTTCCACCCAACCGCGAGGTCATGAGGAGTGAGCTGCCTTACCGCCTGGCGACCTCGGAGCACTTTCATCCAGTGCCAGCTCTTCACGTTGCCATCCCAGATTCTGTGCTGACCCCCCCAGGGGGCGCCGACGCCAGTGGTGGGCAGAAGACTCCGTTCAGCAGCCCCACCTCGCCACCCCCCGCTGCCCGGTCAGTCCTGGCGGCAGGAGGAGGGACGGGAGGGTCATCGGATGCCCTGTCACCTCCTCTGTCAGGCTCCCCCCGTGAGGACAAGGCCCAGGCAGTGGCCTACGCACACGAGCTGGAGATGGTGCACCAACGGCGGCTGCACGCGGTGCTGCCATTGGTGACCCCTCACCCTGTGAGCGGAGCTGGCCCTTCCTCTTCCCCCTCCTCCTCCATCGTCGTCGGTGGTGGCAGCGGCGGCCCCCCACCTCAGGGCCTCTACACCACCAGCACCATCCGCTATGCGCCAGCCGATGTCGCCTTGGCCATGCAGGGCAACCTGCTGCCTGCTGCTGCCGCCATCAACTTTGTGGACCTCAACGCCTCTGCCTTTGGCGGTGCCGGTGGCAGCACCGCTGATTCAAAAGCCCAAGTGGAGATGATCTACCACCATGTTCAGCGGCTAAACATGGCGGGGCCCTTCGCCAGCCCCGTCGGTGCAGCTGGCTTGACCCAGGTGCCAGCGGGAAGCGTCTTCACGACGGCCGAGGCCCTGCTGTCCACCCTTCCCTTCCCCATGAACACGGGCAGTATCCATGCCCCCCAGACTCTGGAACGCAAGGAAGATTGACCTCTTTTGACTCTGCACCCTTGGGCGGCTTCTCTTGAGTGTGAGAAAGGGACAATCTCCTAAATCTTTGAAAAAAACTAGGTTCAAAGTTGACCCCCACCACCCCTCCATTTTTTGTTTGTTCTGGAGATGATGGACCTCATTCTATTATTGTTTATCCCAATTATTTTAACTTCCTTTTTAACCAATCTCCTCAAATCCCATTGAGTAAAAGCACTTATTTTTCTTTTGGCTCTTGGCTCGAGAGAGGGAGAGTCCAATCGAAGATGGACAGAAGCCCAAGGCATCGCTGCTGACCAGATGGAGCGCCAATGGGTGCCATCGCTTCCATGACCCCTGGAGACCCAAGAAAGTTGGTCGGGGGGGGGGCACTCCTGTTGGATGGAGATTGGGATGGGGCAGGTGCGTCTTAGTCTGGGCCACAAGGCTCTGACCCCGCCATCCCCCTCCTCTCTGCGCCGCTTGAGCACAAAGCTGACAGTCACAGGGAGAGCGAGAGTGACCAAGCAAAACTTGTAGCAGACATTTTGGGCCTGTGTCCTTGGACCTTGCCCGCTTGTTGTCCACTTGGGCCTGTGGCCTGAGCCTCATCCAGTCATTGTCCACTTGGCCCTGCTGTGTGTATACTGTACAGTCAGTCGGTAACGATTGTAAAAAGGGAAATTGAAATGAAATGTCTCCTTTGGACGGATGGGAGGATTGCAAATAAGGCCGGACCCAGTGGTGTGAAAATGGCCATTATGGTATCTTGTTGTCATTGGTATTTGAGACGTTTTTGGGACAGACCGGTACCTTTTTCTGGGGAATGTGCCCTGCCCATAACACTGGATCATGATTCCAGCCTATCTCTCAATGGTCGGTATCAATCCTTGGGGAGGGAAATGGGCTGGGGTGGGCAACCAAGGGGTTGGGTGTAGTGGTTTGGATATGGGGAGAAAAGGAGTCACTTGAACACCTACAGTGGAGGGTTTCCATGTTAAATCAGTGTGGGTTTGCATCATGACCTGGACGTTGGTGGCTCATCTCATGTCCACGTCTCTGCCAATTGATGCCACAAATTTCTGCAGACATCCCTTTCTGCCAGTGGGCAGAAGGTGGGGCAGTTTATTTAACTGGTGTTTGTCCCTCTCTTTAGTCACCTTGAGGTAATAATGCTGGTGAAGATTTGCATATCCTTTGAGGACTGGTAATGCCAGGATCAATCCATGTCATCTGTTATTGACTCATGCAGAGGGTAGGCAAGCGATCGAAGTTTTGCCATCAAATAAGGTTGCCCGGCTGGGATTGTCACTCAGAACCCTTTGTTGGGGGAGGAGCAGGTGGGCAGGGCAGGATGGAGTCATACATTAAGCGCTGGCACCTAGCCAAGATGCCAACAGTCAGCAGGTCTCAAGCACATTTGTTTTAGTAAAGATTTAAGAATGAAGGATGGGATTAAAGATCACCTTAATGACGTTTGGTTAACTAGTTAGCCCATTGGGGTTGGTCAGAGCCTCGGACAAAAGGACCAGGAGGGCATTTGGAACTAGTTTGGACTTACCTAGGACGAAACACGTCAGACATGGATAAGGAGAGAGTTGAGTGTGGAAGGGAAAGGAGTGAGAGTGACAGAGGGCAGCAGAAGCAGTCAAGCAACATTGAACATTCTTTTTCAAAAATATATTGAAACCTTCTGGTTCCCTGACCTCCTGCTCATACGCTCATCATCTCCCTTTTCCTTACTCAGCTGTGGTGAAAAACAGTATGCAAATTGGAAACCGGTCTTTCATCAGGTAGTGACAGATCGTGAGTGAGTGGAGTAGCTCCTGCAGGACTGGGGGTTAAGGTATATGGTTGAGGTATTTCAATGGAAGCTTTACTGTGTCTCTAATTGTGCTGTATACCTATCCTGGGAGTATTTGATGGGGACAATGTAGGTGGATTCTGTATCCAACCTATAACCAGAAGAAATTCCCACTGGGTGTAAAAGGTATGATTCTATTCATTTTCTATTTAAAAACCTCCAAATTTAACAAGCCACAGATGACCCCAGATTGTCAACAGTGAGGAAGAGCAGAATAGTGCCAGTAATATGATCTTTAAGTTTTGTGCAGAATCACAGACTGTGATCTTTCCAACCCTTAACTTTTACCCAAATTCTGCTGAAAATCGTCCCTTGAAAATATGGAGTGAGATTTGCTCCAGACCTCTGGTCAGTTTCCTTGGAAATAAAACTTGATGTTATGGTCATTGTAGGCTATTCAACATGAGGGGTGCAATTCCCAATTGCAATGCCCATACCAATTGCCCCATCTAAGATGGCCAAGTCAGTGCAAGTTTGAAATTGGATGTCGTAAATCTGAGCCAGTATAATATTGATCAGTACAACTGCACCATCCCCAAAGCCATTGGCAGTGATATGGGGTTGGGGAAGGGTGCACTCTCGATTTTGGTACAATCTGAAGTCCTCAGAATGGTAAGACTGTTCTCGAGGTTTACACTTTGTGAGACAAAACAGAAATTACTCATTGCCTTTCCAAAGAAAAACAGACACATTTGAAGGACATGCACTTACATAGCACCTTTCACAACCCGAGGACGCCCAAAAGCACTTTACAATCAATGAAGTACTTCTGAAGTACAGACATTATTGTAAGAAACTTTGTGCACAGCAAGTTCCCACAAACCAGGGTTAATTTGTTTTGATGATGTTGGTTAAGGATAAATATTGGCTTATGGCTCCCCTTTCCTTCAATGTGAATTGGATCACATGATCATTTACCTGAGAAGGGCCTTGTTTTAAGGTCTCACATGAAAGATGGCATTTCCGACATTGCAGCACTCCTTCACTACTAGAGCTGGGTTAGATTATGTACTTGGTTCCTTGGAGTGGGATTTGAACCCACAACCTTTGGATTCTAAGGTAAGGGGCCAAACCGCTGAGGCACTGTTGACACTCAGAATTGATGCAATGCAACCGCAGTTTATGAAGCCACGGTTTATGGCGGAAAGATGTGTGTTGTTTGACTGTATATTGCGTTCAGTAGGAATTAGTCTTTCTTAACGTTATTTCACAAGTTGTCGTTTGTTGGTCTAAGGCATCTTGTAACAGCAATGATGAATACCCAGGTGTGGATTAATTTTGGCAGAGATAGGGCAGGGCAGGGTGGGGTGATTGAGAGATATTAATTAGTTGATTAAGTTTGAATGAACAAGGGGGTTGTGATTGTTTCATTCCCCTTCAAAGGAATAGCACAACTTACACCTAGTCCCTACCTGTCTGACCACTATGCCAAAAATTTGCCAAACATTAGCATTAAACTGCTTGCAGAGGGCTGCAGTGTCCTTCATAAGTGAAGGCACAGGATTACACTGATTACAGCAAAACAACGGTACAGACAAAGGCCATTCAGCCATAATGTTCATGCTGTGTTGCTGTAGAGCCTCCTGCCGCTTCCACTGTATTCCTGCAGCTCTGCAAGCTCAAGTGCACATCCCAATTTCAAATCACTTATCGTATCTGCTTCCATCACCATCACTGCAGGCAGCAGGTTCCAGGTAATGGCCAACCTCTTTACCAAACAGTTCTTCCTCAAATCCCCTCTGCATCACTTGCCCAAGATTTTAAATCTGTGTCTTATTTATCCTGGTATCATCGGAGAATGAGGAACATTACCCAGTCGAAATCTGTCAGAATCTTTTGAACCTCTATCAAAACTTCCCTCAATATCTTCTGCTCCAAGAGCAATAAGCTTATTTTCTAAGAATGGTTACAGCACATAAGGAGGCCATTTGACCTATGCTGACTTTGTAAGAGCTGCTCAGCTAGTCCCACTACCCAGTGTTTTTCCTGAAGCCCCGCAATTTTCAACCCCTCTTCACATGGTTGCCCAATTCCCCTTTGAAAGCTATGAACAGTTTCACACAATACAACGAAGATACCTTCTCATCCAAGAGGAATAAAATTAGATACTTTTATAGCTCCTCAGGTATGAAGAATTTTGCACCCACTTTCAGTTTTGGTGGAAATTAGCAATGAATTATCGTTATTGCTGAGAAGAGTGACATGTTGCCAAAGCTTTTGTTTTTCACTCATCTGGACAAATGCAACAATGCCAAATTTTAGATAATTGCAATGGTTAGCATTACAGAAGAGTGTTGATTGATTAGCAAGTTGAATCTGACCAAGGAATGACATGAAGAAAGCAATGGTGAACTGTAAGCTTCCCACATTCCCTGGTAATTCCAAAAAAGACAGAAGTAAATGTGTTCCTTTTGTTTTCAGAGAACACATTCCTAATTTTTCTTCATCGTTATGTTTATTTGAAATTTGGCATTCTTGCATTTGTCCTGATGAATGCAAGATGAAAAGCTTTGGCGATGCAGGTCTCTCTTCTTGGAGATATTTAAACATTTATGTACTGAATCTAAGAAGGTGATTCACATTTAGAGATTAAAGTCATCCCCTTAATCAGGCAGCTTTTACAATTGTATTTTAAAATGTGCAGTGCTTACTTTGCACCAAAGATGGTGGCTAACTGCAGAACTTGTTTCTTTCTGCAACATGGATTTAGCCCTTAGACTTCCGAAAGGTCCATGAAGTGTCCAGCCTCCGGCGGTCAGTTTGTTTTCAATGGCTAGAATACTGCCGTAGTAAAGTTATTCAATGTCAGTTTTGTTTACTGAGGTGATTCTGTACATATTTTGCTGCGGCATACAGATCCTCTGGTCATTCCTCCGCACCCTGCAATCCCGTGCTTTCCACTCCGGTTGCCTCCGGTTTTGAACTCAAGGAGCCCGGTTTCTTGGCAAAAAAAATACACAAGGTAGTCACCCTTTGATTCCTTCATGTGAGCTAAGAGGAAAAATAAGACCTCTTTCTAAAGAATCCTCCAACTATAAGCAGCTCTCGTCCCTCAAGGTGTTACGGAAGTGTCACGCTGCAGAGGAGGCCATTCAGCCTATTATGTCTCCACCCAGCTATCCAATCAGCATTATGACTTAGTTCCAATCTCCTGTGT